TATCTGGAGTGTGATAACAGTGAGGGAAAGCTCCTAATGTGATGGCGTTCACATTGGAGGCTGATTGGAGGGATTGTTCCTAGACATGTGGAAAATTCAAATAACTCCCCCTAGAAACATTATAGGTTGCTGGATATTCCTTGGTTGAGTATATACAGATCGAGTTGTTAATTGTGTATATGTATAGGTGTACCCACTTCGTTGGAAAGTTCCCTGATGTTGGCACTGTGCGGCCGAGACTTCCCGCTATCGTCACGAGTTGACGTCTGGTGTGACAGGGACTTCATGATAGTCTTGGCCAAAACTGAGGGGCTACGAGCGCTTACTGGTGAGTTGCCATTCAGCACTTTTAACTGGAGGGAATTCCTCGGATGCAGGTGAATCGGATCTCTTTACCATAGACGAAGCTGACCTTTCTGATCGGGAATCCCAGTCCCTGTTGAGGGTTTGGCGTGATGAATGTAAGCTTGGAAGTGCCCTGATGGATGCGGCTGATGTGGTTCTGCTGTAGGTCAGAGTTTCCTGCAGGAAGCGGCCGGCGATGTGGGGATAGAAGAAACCAACCTCGTTGTTAGAACTGCCCATGGTATAGTTGGAGAGCTCGAGGATGCCTACATTTGAGTGACGCTACTGCTCACTACGTACATTAAAATACTCAAAAACTGTGTTCCTTTCTACACACGTTTCAAGACTACTGCATTGCGCTTTAGTCGTTATGAACCAATTCCGGGCCTACAAACCTGATGAGAGAATCATACGTGATGATGGTCACCGTACTGTCACTTACGCTCTCTTTTGTGCGACATAGGAAGCAAGCACATACGGCAGGAATCGAAGTGAGTCGATCGCTCTGGTATTCAGCAGCATAGGATTGTTTGTGTTTCTCGACTGCCAACATATGCTCCCGTTACGGTCGCCCATCTCACCAGCATTAGGGCTGATCGTATTCGCCATGGTCATCGCTGTATCATGTACACAGGGCTCTACCATACCTGGCATAGGGTACGTTGCATAAGGTGTGGTACACTTTGAGTTGACTCCTATTATAGGTACCTATTCATATCGCTCAGCTTATTGGCCTACCGAGCTTGGCCTCGTCTATCGATCGGACCCATACCACTCGTTTCTCTCTTCGCATTGCTTGTCATTGTAATCATTCTCTTGCAACAGCAATCAGACATCATCATGTTAGTAGGTTCCTCTGGCTTTACAAGGGGCCCTTTACCCAACAACGTACGCCAGCGTCTACTTTGGATCCTTCAGGGTTGGATGGTGAGTGTTTGGATTACTCCTTGCCTCACTCTGTGGTGTCTTAGCAGTCGGGTTTCGTCCAGAATTGAACTTTTTTAGGTATGTTGTTGGAGGCCTCATCCTGGCTCTGCTCCTGCCAGATTGTCTCGACATTTACCCCTTGGCGATTCAAAAGCTGTCGCTACCCCTTGCTAGTGTGCCACCACCGGTAATCTCCCATCGTAACAACATATTGTTAAACAGAACCTATTCCTACTTGAGATGACCATGACGATGTTCACTCGGTCGGATTCGATCGAATTATGGTTCCTTCCTCCCAGGCACAGACTATCATCATATTCTTACTAATCACCTGGCAGATCGTATTGTCGCCCTGTCTCCTGACCTTACCCTACATACCTCTATTCTTCCTCACTCTTTATGCTTGGGCTATGCCTAAGGTAACCTGGAGATGGAATTGTAGCCGTCGAATTCCCTTGAAGATTTTTTGGGAACTAATTTACCCTTGAAAATTAGTTTTGGGGAATCCAAATTAAGACGCATTCTATTTGCTCAATTTGGCTCAATCAGATCGATTATATGAAAACTATGCAACGGTTACACTGCAACCACATTGATTACAATAGCCATATCAAGGCTATCAGAGACAGATATGGCCGTGAACCATCTTCGTTGATTGTACGAAGGAACATCGCTCATCTGCTTTCAGTCCCGTCATCATATCACGCTGCGCTTCGCATCGAAAAGGAAAATCAAGTTGATGATCCTCTTCTACACATGGTGCCAAGGCCTTACAATGTATGTTGTCTCGTTGTTCGAATTACTATTTTCACTTCACAACATACCAGGTACGTGTTGAGCCTACCGGCCAGGGTTGCCTCCAACATGAACAGCACACTTTGGTTACCCCAAATGATCGGGTCTCCGATGGTCAAAGAGTACAAGTCGGAGAACCCTGCGGGCTTCCAAATGAACTTCTCTGTTATGCTCTTCTCCGTGGCCGCCATGCTCCTACAGGCCACCCTACTGCCTTGGTTCATCCAGCCCTATGAGCCTCTCAACAAGCAATGGTATTTGCTACCTACCTTGCGGACCCCTAGCCCATCAAGACACGAGAGCATAGCACTCACGGCCAGTGCTTCTACTACTGCACAACAGTCACCGTTCTCTCTCACTCATCGCTGTCATCACAGGGCCTTAAGTGGAAGTCCAGAGGATGGGAACCCATCGTTGGTCGCTGAGAACGGTCTTGCTTATGCCGAGGATGTGGAGAGGAAGAAGCGCTCTTGGTTGCTGCGTGCATGGGTCGCTTTCCTCGACACTATAGCTCTCAGTGTGGGAGCGCCACTTATACTCATCTGTTGGGCCATACTCATACCCAGTACTTTGGCTACGGTCTTACAAATTGCTGGATGTGCTCTACTGCTCCTTCCCACTGTAATCGGGACAAGGATCCCTTTCGGTGTCATTGTTTGCTACACAACATCCCTCACGGTCTTGAACATAGTATGTAGCATACCGTGGACGTTCGGCGAGAGGCTCGCGATTAATAGCCAGAAATTCTATCTCAAGAGCATCGGCTTCCACTTCTATAACTTCGGGGATACATCTCAGATTGGGTGGAGATTCCTGGCTATTGCCTTACAGTGTCTCTTCACCTGTATTCTGGCGGCTATATGGCATTGGCATTTCAGTTCGACTCAGAAGAAGAGTACATCTGACGATGATGATGACAGGTCCATCTTCCCTGGGTGGCTACGAGGCCGTACTGCTCAATACATCTGGAACACGATTCGCCGTGTTTTGACACATGCGGACTTTGCTGTTGTGTGCATCCTCTTCACTGTGATGATAGTCTTATTCGTGAGCAATGAGAGCAACGTCCTTATTCTCATTTACCTATTCTTCGCACTAGTACTGATAGTACAGCCTGAGGGCATCATCAAGCAGCTAGTTACGAAGGCTTTGATACTATCGTCTGTGATATGCTGTGCCGTGTCTATTGAATATGCTATCTGGGATTATTCTTCTTTCTCCCTGGACTCCTTCCCCACAGTCTTCAGACCAGCCATAGCCCATCTATGTGTGTTCCTAGTGGCGATCCTTCCTGACCGACTACCCCCAGCGCATGATTTACACAGATCCAGCACGCCCATCGGTGCCTTCCTGAGGGAGCATTGGACCATTATCTCTCGTATTGCTGTCTACATCGCCCTGTTCTGGACACTTTGGGTGGCTCTCACCAAACCGGTTGACGTTTACTCTATCATAATGTTGGCCATCTTCGTCGTGCAGATCGCTATTTATCAACTCCTTTTCAAGAACTCTGAACGATATTTCAGCATTATCGTCGTTAACTACGCCCTGGCTTATTTTTGTATCATAATCGTTGGCTGGCGCTGCGTCGCTCTATATCCAAGCATATACCAGAGCCTCACCGAGAGTCTGAGGTATCCTCTGTACTTGGAACTTGGCATTGACAATTCCGATGCAGGAATATGGAAAACTTCATTGACGGCTTTCACGGCGGTGATCTGTATGAGGATGGTCCGCTTTGCATCGTCGCTGCTCATACTCGAAGACCTCGAGCAGAATGAGGAATCTAA